CCAATTATGTATAAACAATTTTTAAATAATACTTAATTTAATACTTTAATTTTAATTGTTATATGTTTAATTATTGCGTAATTTGGCTTTTTTTTCCGTGGCTTATTTTTCCCGTGGCTTTTTTTCCCTGGATTATTTTTCCTACACTCATTGTAAGTTGTAGTGTTTCTCGCAGTATATAGAAAGCGAGCATATCGTTGTGGTGTTTGCTATACGATTTAATAAGGCCGTAAGTCGGTCACAGACTTAGGGTAAGAAATGGTGTAGCTCAACATTAACGCCAGAAAAAGAAAGACATGGCGCGGAAAATCACAATTTTTATGATTAAAAGAACTCGTATGATTTTTTTTCTAAAATTACAATTGTAGATATCCTCMCTTATTATCATTATTATTTGCAGCAAAAGCACTGAGGAATTCTGAAATACTTATTTTTCGAACGAACAATGATTGCTATATGGCGTTAAATTTTTTTTCTTTAAAATACCGACATATTGACTGGTGTAAATCACTCTTTAAATGAATAATTAAACGGGACATATATGAAGTACGGTGTACAATAGGACTTAGGTACATTAAGAATATATGTATATCATAATAATATTATATGTATAATATCGCCTTCGTAACATCAAACCCCACACTTCCATTACCTATATCGTATATAATAAATAATAATATATATGTAATCACCATCACGACGACGCTATAATATGATATTGTAATATAATAAAATGTACCTACTCACGGTCCCGATTATTTAATTTTTCGTCGCTCTTTTCTCGAAAAATAGCATATTCACTCGGCATCATAATATAGTCTTTTTTTCCGTATCGAAGGCGCACATCATTATGTTAACACGTACTATGTTGTTTGCGATACGCATTAGTGAGACTGTTTTTATCCGGTTCTGTAGCACAATATTAACTCGTTGACTCGCAATAGAAGAAAAACAGAGAGAAAAACGCGATTACTTTGAATATAGAAGAAGAATTCGTATATGATWTTGCTTCACGTAGAACACGTACAAMTTATGTCAAATAGGTACGTATTTTTCCCAGCCGAAAAATGTAAATTACAAAATTTATAAATCAATCGTGTACAACAATAGCATACGAGTAGTGCACAGATGTGTCGCAGTGATGTGGGCTGTCTTGTCGACAAAATGCAACAATAAACTTCCTCTAGGTGCATATATCGTTACACTTTCCATGAACTCATTACTTTTCTACTAGTATAAGCCATAAGGTCTAGATTTAAGTTTAGGTACATTAGATTTAGGTTTATGGTATAGACTATACACCATGATTTAGATTTTTCTTCCATTTATTTATTGTCGTTGCCACGTGTTAGTGAAAAATGAACAATACAAAATTCAATATAATTATGCCCTTAAACATTATACCCGTAGAAACCATAATAAAAACCAAGACAACAAACCGGTCTCGACATTGGCAACACTGCAAGTGTTCGCGTAATGAGTATGTATATTCATAGTAGAAGTGAGATTGACTTCACGGAAATKCATGTAGGAGAATAATAATATGCATACCAAGTAAAGGCACTCGTTACAGCGATAGTAATGGCGGTGGCCGCGGTAGTGGTTACGGCAAAATGTCATCGGACACAATTTTACCGCCACCGCAGCGGCACCGTCAAGACAAAAGAATTTTACCTCTATCGCTGCAGTATGTGGCGACTATTAAAGTTTAAACGAGAGTTTTGTAGTGTATATAATTGTAAAAGGCATAACGACATTACAATGKGTATTAACGGTCCGGTTGAATTAATATTTCGTCATGTTTTACTCGAACGGTCAACGGAATGTCAATTTTGAGTTTAAAATGTATTTTATCAAATTTTTTTTGTCTTTTAAGACGTAATTTCGAC